TACTATAAGTATTATAAAATTATTTATAATTAATAGGGAATTAGACCTACTCTCTATATAATAATACTAGTATAATAATCTGGTCCTATTATGACGACATCGATGTCGTGTTCAGTGAGAATATAGTCCGTCCTGGCATCAGCACTAAGCTCAATTTGGGTAATGCCATGCCGCAGAAACTTAATTTTTGCCCAGGGCAATAAGCGCGGATCAATATTCCTCCTTGATCTTTCCAGGCTTAAACTTCCCGCAGTCTTTACTTAGCGTTATTTTTTGCCTTTGCGATTGTGTCTTAATATAAGGAGTACAGTATAGATCTAGCTTTGAGAATTCCTAAATAGAGGGTCTTATTTTATCCCTCTGAGCTTTCTGGAAGAGTTTTTGTACTGTTACCTCCCCAGACTGGCGGTCGGACCAACCAAGGCTTCAGAAACTCTGCATGTTTATCGAGTGCCTCTTCAATCCGCTCTATTGGCCACTTCTCCGAGCCACCATTAGCCCACATAATGTAGAGCTCATTCAAGGTATAGCCAAAACTGTCCCACTGGTACGCTGGCATGGGAGACTTGTAGTTGTATATCCCGTGTTGACTCTCGAGGTAATCAAAGCGTGAGCCTTCCAGAATCTCGTCGATGTCCTCATACTCGGGCTTGCAGAACGACCAGGGATCGTAGGACGGCACCCACAAACGCTGCTCAACCTCGTCTTTCCGTGGATCATTTGCCAGCGCAAGCTTCTTGTACATAATATTGTTGAAACGAGCTACATAGTACACGACCTGAATGTTACCCCAGAAGGGGATCTGCTTGCTGATCTCGTAGATCTCCCATAGCAGGTCGATCCGGGTCGTCAAGGCCAAGATAATTGCCGGTTCGTATAATCGGCTGAGACCTTCCTCGGTCCTCAGCGTCGGCTTCTTCAGAGCGCGCTGCACGACCTGCCAGCCCTTGGCTGTGAACTCGCTGCGGGAGCGCTCGTATACGTCGAGGAATTGTGGGAGAACGTTTTCCTTCAGGTTCTCTGCTATTTCTTTCGGGGGTATAAGCCTATCAAATGTACCTTCAGGGACATTGGCTTTAACAATTTCGCTATGAGAGCCCCGCATTTTCTAAGAGCGAAGAAAGTGTTATAGAGATATTAAAATTTAATAGGTTAATAAAGGATAATGTCTGGTCAGAGGGGGCACTGCTTCTATTATATAGGTATTTCTTTATAATCTAGTGCTGGGAACAGTTAGAGTAAACCTTAAATACAGCGAGAATGAATCCACTGGGCATAATGGATTAGTTCTTTCAAGACTCCCGCTTATCCAAGGAAAAAGTCACACTTATCCATGCCCCGTAGGCTAAGAGCTTTCCCCACCCAATCCACTGCATTAGCAAGCGTGAAACTCCCGTCCAATCCCTTGTCCCGCCGGAGACGCAGCGTCACCTCATCCCCGGCTGAATGACATAGTGGCTGAGAAAGCAACACTGTCTAGCTCGAGATCGAGCTAGAAGACAATCTCACCACAGGTAATGGCAGCATCGCTCGTGGCCGTGTAGTGATAGACTGTAGCGTTCTTCAGCATGGTAAAGACGTTTATATGCTCTAATTTCTCCCGGGTGCGCCAAGCCAGAGAAAAGGTGTTGCGCGCATCGTCCATCACCTCAAACTCCAAGCAAAGCGTCGTGGTTTTAGACACATTAGCCATATACCAGAGCATATCATGCCCTTTAGCAAATTGCTGTAGCGGCAGAGGGCCGAGGGCCTTAGTGACTGGGTGTTCAACGCCCGCGACTCGAGCAATATCCGACAAGGTCCAGACGTTATCACCAGCTTTTCGCATGGCAACAGAGACTCGTTTGAAACTCATAGCCGTCTTGTTGGGGTTGAGGGTGACGCCCATTGGGAACACCAGCGAACGAGAGATCATCGCGTAAATGTTTGCCTTAAGACTGCTCTTAACTATGCCCAAAGCGCCGTCCTTTGAGCATTTTTGGGATTAAAGTTATCGGTAATTTTCCCATGAAACTCACCAGTAAGACTGCAAATGACGTCCCATAGCGGAATTGGCTTGTTGGGCTGCTTTTTTCGATGGATTGTGGCCTGCTTCCGCATACACATAGTACGGGGCCGTAGAAATCCTTGTTATTGGGTCATGCTTGTTCAGAAATGTCAAACCATGTATTCCTGGGAACAGTCGGTCAGTTCGTCAAGAGAAATGGCTCCTCGGCCAAGCAGTGTTTAGGGGTGACATTGTACATGTATCTGGTGTACATGAAAGTGACGATCTCCCATCCTGAATGGCATCTTCATGCTAGCAAGCACCCAACCTATCAACGCTAGGCGGAGAGGGGTATATAGGTCTAGTCCCGGCTTACGTGGGTGACCCTGTGCGTTTGCATTGCCCGAACTGCCAATGACAAATAGGGGCTATAAACACTCCTACATCTCTTCTGGGTTTGAAGAGGTAGTGCTATGTTGGTTAAGCTTTACTACAGGGACTCAGTTGTCGTTGTTTGGTAGGTATTTCATCCACTCATAGATCCGCAACTCGAGCTTACTATACGTGTCACCACCTAGGTAGTAAGAAACCGAGTCGTTTGTGGCCTTCTAGTTGTTATCAAGCTCTGACCAGACCACAAGGCAGTAGATGCTCTCAGCATTCTTATCGGTGATTTTACTTGTTCTCTGAAAGCCACTTTGAGTCACCGTTTGGTTACATCGCCGACGACCTTCCCGTTGCAATAATATCTGCTTAGGTAGGCTTTGCCATTTCGATAAGCTTTTCAAGGCTCTCACATCCATATCGATCATTAGGGGAAACAGCTGTGTCTTCCTTGGCAAGGAGGTCGCGTCCACTCAGCCTTTCTGTGCCCACTCGCATCATGAAAGCTTCGGCCTTTGGGTGCCACTTGTCTGCCTCCACCTTGATCTGAAACATTACATCTTCAGGTTCTCCTAGCTTCGCTTTACCAACAATGCTAGTCAAGCAGTTCTTCTCGTCGGCCTTGTTCCAGGTTGTGGGATCCTTCCAAGTCGGCACATGGAAGTACGACTCTGGCTCATCATCTTTATCGTAGCGCCCGCGACTAAGCGTCCTGAAGTTCCGGCTGCTCACCCTCATCATATCTTGCAGGAGGTACCACTTGACGGCTCTGTCGTGGTCCTTGTCCCTGTGCGTGATAAAAAGCCCATCGAATACCAGACCCTTGCGGTCTTCTGGCTTGTCCGGGTCGTCTTGGCACTCAAAGTCTCTTTCGATGCCCCGGGTGCTGGAGATGAATTGGTCGATCGTGGCTGCCAGTGAAAACGTGGCCCGCAGAGCAGGGTCACATAAGAAGGGTTAAAAGAGCCTTGATTTATATCATATACTGGGGGATGCAGAGCTCCTTATGTACCTTATGGAGCGTTGTATCCTTGTTCAGGAAGCTGACCCGATCAGGGCTACCCTGACTTTTAACAGAAAAGCTGGGTTAGAGAAGAATAATAGCACGGTCGCGGACGGTGTATTTGTCCAAGTTTCTGCCTCCGGCTTCGCTGGCGAGATTTGTGGTAGCCAGAATTCCGTAACGGAGCTAAGGCAGTTGATGGGAGAGCCTGCCGCGTTGTTCAAGGCTCCCATGCTGGAAGGCCCAAGCATCATTAACTCATGTACCTGGCACCTGGGAGCGACGCCGAGCTTATCGCCCCCCCTCACATCGCGTTAAAGAACGTCACCTTTTGTGAGATCGCGACCCCACGTACATTATAACAGACAAGGACAAGGGGGACAAGAGATCCCATACACCATAGCTGGCACTTCTTATCTTTACGGCCCCTAAGCTCAGTATTAAACCGCAAATAGTCAAAAAGCTCGTGGCCAAGCTGCCTCCCGATATGAAAAGAGAGCAGAGTGACCCCTACGCCCTCTAATGCAGGCACAAGATTTGCGATGTTTGAGCAATATCACCACAGCAATTCCTCACGGCTCTCCAGAAGATGACCGCAATGTTGCTAAGCCAGCGGAAGTAATACTTTTAGAGCTAGATCTATTGACTACCTTCTTCAGTGACGACAGTCAACCTACCACAGGTAGGTAAAGGGCTCATATGTCTAAATACAAGTACCTCGCTCACGTCCGGGATACAGCCACAGACAGGATAGCAGTCGCTTGCAACATAGAGGAAAACGATAACGACCAGACATTCCTCAGTGTCATCATTTCTCCCCGCACGTCTTCTATTGGAGCCGGTGTTCCCATCACGATTATTGTCAACCTCATGTCTCTGACAATGAACCCCAGGCTCACCCTGCCGCTTCCTCCGTCCCAGCGGGTGGCGGTACTAAGCCTGCACAGCTGGACCTACAACTTTCTACCGTCTAGAAACTTGACTGGCTTATTCGATGTCTTGGTAAATCTGGGCAGCAAGCTCACGGTACTGCAGCCAGGTGCATTGCCGGAGGAAAAGACGCCAACACCCCGAGAACAGGAGTCGGACCCTGAGGACGAGAGAATCCAAACCCCGAATGCACGCCGGGAGACAGACGGCTATACCATCATCCGGCGTCGTACAGTGACGGCTTCTATCGCCCGAGGACCCTTCACCCCGACTCTCGTGCCCCATCAACTCCGTGAGGGCTTGGCCCAGAGCAACTTCAGCACCGATCTCCAAACCCTGGATCGTGACCTCGCACTCATCGACCTGACTTACGCCAACGCCTGGCAGCTCGCAAAATCCTGGCAATGGGCGAAACTACTTTCTCCGCTGCCCTCGCTCGTCTTCACAACTCCATCCACGGCCAAGCTCTTACAGCGGCAAAAAGGGGAGTCTACTCTGGACTAGGCGGGTTCCAGTCGCGAGCTGAGGCGGCAGCAGGGATATTGAATCTCATCCAGGGCTTCAGCCGATCCAGCGAATCGCATCACATTGTATTATCGGCGACTTGAATAAACTCGCTAGATTGCCAGGGGACTCGCGATTCCAGCTCAGCACACCGTCAAAGCGCTCTGCCTTCCCGCCGCCTCTTCCGTGTAAGAGTAAGCCTGTGCAAGTTCCTCGGTGCGTTGCTCTCTCCCGCTCAAGGCCTCCTTGTCCGCGGCTCCAAGCCCAGCTAGTTACCCAGCATGCCGAAAGCCTCCAGAAGATAAGAGCAAGTGAACGTGCTCGCAAACCGGCACCGCCGAAACAAATCATCATCGCTGACGAGCGCTATTTCGAGTTCAACATCTACCCATATCGCCAGCATGAGTTCGTCCCCAGCAACACCAAGCTCCCTGTCGACCTGATCTTCAGCCTGCGCCAGCCCGATCCGAAGTATTTCAACACCCCGCTCATCAATCTCGTCATCGTCATTTCCTTCGGAGCCATCCAGAAAAAGAAACCCTTGGCAAAGTCGACAGAGCACATGATCCCGGACAAAACCAACAAAACCAAAACAGATGACCCTCCACCACCGTTCACCCCCCTCCTGGGCCCCAATCCTGACCCGCCCATGCCCACTATGCTCTCCAATATGCGCTTCAATATCATTAAGCACTTTGGCATAAAGAAGGAGGGCTTCGAGAACCACCTCATTCTGGAGGTGATCCCTCGGGCGGCCGCCGGCGTAGACGTGTCACTGGTGCGTGACGCCAGCTTCCTGATGGGTGGCGTGGAGATCGCGTGGTACGAGAGGCCAGGGGTGCTAGAGCCAAAACCATATGTGCACTTATTGCAGTATCACAAGTCTTATGAGAAGGCGCCATTGAAGGGAGGGACCCAAGTAGTGGTGAAACCAGTTTGATAATAGCATGGAGTTCGATAGATTAAGCTAATAATAAAAAATGCATTTTCCCCCATAATGCGAATAAAACAGAACCTATGTAAGAGGAATGAAACAGGCAGCGACGTGCAGAGTTATAGTCATAGAGTGGCAGTTCACCAAAACGTCACAGGTTGGGATATAAAGACTGGCTGTAGTTGTGAGTTGTATCTTGAGATGAGTTTGGCTGTCGCTGTGTGGGTCCAGGGTAGCTCTTCCACGTAGCGCAGATCTTAAGATCTTAAGTTCTTATGAAGGCGGGGTAATTTCATGCCACAAGCTTAATTCCAGGTTAGGCAATTATCTTACACCGCCCTCCAAAAAAAGCCACACGCTCAGGAGGATTCGATCCATGACCTTTGGCATTTATCAGAAATCCTCAGCACCACAATCGCCGACCTTGATGCGTCACAGGGTATCGTCTTCAATTGGGTGCAAAACATCGCATCGCGCGTCCAGTTGCCTCCAATTGAGAGATGAACTAATGCCTTCGATAGAATTACATTCATCGCCAACTCGATATCTAAAAACAACTGGTGCTGAATGACCTCCAAAACTCCGTAAGACTCAACCAAGTCTAAATGCTGGGTATCATCACTATATAATGCAAGTCCTTCCAACGCCATCATAACCCTCCGTGACCTATTCGCCTCCCTCCCCAGACGCCAACATGTCATCAATCAGCGACCGCAAGTCATTAACTTGCTCCACCGGCTTAGCCCTTAAGACCTTCCAGGTCAGACGCTGAATACTCTGCATGCACAATGCCGCATCCATGTCCTTTTCTTCCTTGTCAATATCATCCAAACAACCTGCAATACCCTCCGTCATGATCACAACTGTATCCCGAAGCGCTGGCTCGGCTGCCGCAAGTTCATCAACTCTCTTTTGAGCTGCTGCTAAATCAACCTCTGCTTGTTCGGCTTCGCGGTTCGCGTCGTCCGAATTGTCTTTCGCCCAGTCGATGCTGTCGCGGACTGTGGCTGGCAGGATATCTCCATGTCGAGCTACCAGCGCCTCAAGCTCGGCAAGTGCGGTTGCGGACTCTTGGGCCTTTGTGCGGGTGCTGTCGCGGATTGCCGTGGTCTCTTGGAGAGCATTGTTGAGGGGATCCTTTTGATCGAGTCGAAGCTGTGCTGCGTCGCGGTCGTCTTCGAAGAGTTTGAGGCGGTGTTGGTGTGCAGCGATGCGCTTGTGGTAATCCTCAATCGGTAGCTATTGAGAATTAGATTAAGCTACTCAACGGGGGACTGCGATATGAGTACTTACGGGACCTTTGGCTTCAGGGCCGGGAGAGGCGATGTCTCGAGAATCTTCTGCGTCTTCTCCATCCTCCTTATCCTGTTTGTCCTCCGTGTTCACAGCCTGGGGCTCGGGTTCGGGCTCGGGGTTCTTGCGACGCCTTTTGAGCGGTCGACCCTTGGACGGCGATGAGGTCAATTGTGCATCCCCATCAGACTCTGCGACCTCATCCTCCTCATCTTGGGGCGCACATCCCCGCGACTTGCCCGTGATCTCCAACCTGATCCTGGTGACAATACCGTTGCTGACTACACCCTTGGCAGTTGGGTCGCGGTCTGCCTCTTCCTTCAGGCGAGCTACCAGTTGTTCCACTCTGATGCCAGCTTTTCCTCTCTTGGCCAGCTCAATGGTAGTGGCGAGCTGCTCGAGAAGGCTCTGTCCCCAGGACTTGGGCGCATGCTTGCCGAAGAGCTCCGACGGCTCAGAACCGGCTGCTTTCGATATTCGATTCTTGGCGCGTTGGACTCGTGTCTCGTTCTTGTTGCTAGATTGCGCGGGCGGAGTTGGCAGGGCCGTGATAGTGTCGGCCATGGTTGGTTGGTATGGATAAAATCGTCTTAAGATTTTATGTTTCGCGCGACGCGACCTGGATCGCGTTGCAGGGGTGACGTGACTGAGTGAGATTACGAGATGCGAATGAAGCTCTCTAATTGGCCAGGGTGCTTCTGCTCTATTCAGGTACCTGCGTTAGCGCGTCACGTCATGACAAGTGCCCCCCACCATCTCTCAATCTACTCCGTAGCAACCTTCAGAGACACCGTAACCTTGCTTGGAATGGCGTCAACCACATGGCGACTCTTTGCTCTAACAAATCTATCTCACACTCTGCGTGTGCGTGCTATCTTTTCTTAGAAGGCTAGGGATGATATTTAGGGTCGCTATATAATATGTCTTGCATTGCGAGATAAGCTCCTGCGTAATGTAGCGACGCTACCATAGTGTTTCCAAGCACATCATACCCTTATGAAAGAGGAAAGTATCAAGTGCCGTAATTTGATTTAACACATCACCTGATGAAAAGTGTACGACGACAACCAGCTTGAGTATGAGACCAGGTGTCACTGGAACGCAAAGGTAACTGGGCGCAACCCCCGTAAACCACTACCACCGCCAACAGATCAGAAATGGGCACAGCACGTTCTAGGTGAGACCAAAACGTGGCTAAACAGTGTTCCGCCTTGTGTACCTGGAAGTGATATCTGGCCTACCTGGCGACAGTACCACGCTGAACAGATCGCGGCTTTCTTAGAGTTTGGGTCTCCACAAATAAAGACGACCTCAAGATGCCGCTAACCTAATTGACTCTGGCGCCTTACTCGTCATCGACCAGCAACCGTTTCTATGGAACGGCCCGCCACTAGACGACTGTTTCAACCGCCTGTCAGATCCAGAGTGCCTCCGACAGCTCGATCCTCGTCATCTTCACGCAAAGGCCCTGTCAGCCCGCGCTCTTTCGAAGCGACAATGAGGGACAAGCATTGGGTCTGCATACCATCACGTCAAAGAGATACTGTCAATGCTAAAGGACAAGTCACGCGTCGATCGGCCTTCTTATGAGAACCCTGCAGCAGATCCAGAAGAAGCTGATCAACGAAACCCCCAAGGATGATGATAAGTGGAACGTGCTTAACATGGTGCAGTGGTAGAGTGGGTACCTGTGTCATACCCCCCTTTCCTCAACACCCCAAACTCCGACATTCTCCACTACATCAACGCCCTGGAAGTTACTGGCGCCGCACCGGTGACCGTTTTGAGTGGCGGAACTTTGAGTTTATACTACTCAGCCAAGGCGGAAACCACACAGCCTCCCACGTTGACGACTTCGCTCCCGTATCTTTTTCACGTGTCATCAGGGCCCTGTCGGGATTGGCTGGATCTCGCTCAGCTGGCAGGACCGGTTAAAGTTGGAACAGGATCCATTGCGATTCAAAGGCCAGGCGCGTTACCTGGTACTGCGTCCTGGGCAGACAGTTTACATGCCGCCCGGTACTATTCAGTACGTGTTCCGGAAGCTGAGCGACCTAACACTCATCACTGGCGGCGAGGCACTCACATGAACTGGGCTGAGGCGATGGCTGTGCCTTTTGAAACAGCAAGAGCTTAGTAGGACAGAGCCAGCAGTCACAAAGAACAAGGCGGGGGATTGGGCCGCATGCCTTATTAAGCTCGTCAAACAGCGTCACGAGGCACAAGACTGGCTTAACATCCCTGCCGGACGGGAAGAGCTTGAGTTTGTGATGGCTACAAACGAGGTTGGTTCTGCAGTCACATTGGCTGCGAAATTACTAATGTGAATGGAGCAGAGATGGAATGGATTTGAGACGATGGATGAATTTTTTGAGTTTCAAGGCTGATATCCGAATGATTTCCAGCGAAGCATCATCTGCACGGCACAATGATTGGGATACCGCATCAGACAGGGCGTATAAAATTGGCGGAATGGACTTGAAAACGGGCTTACAGTGCATTCATACCCAACATTGGATATTATTGGATATAGGGACAGATAAGGAGTAATTGGTACAGGGGCATCTAGATACCGGTGTCAATTAGACTTGCTATTTTTGAGGCGCATTCATGTCTCGCCTCACATCAGACATAACCACCCGAATATGACCAAGAATGCAATATCATTTTGCGTACAGCATTCGAAAGCAGACCTGTCAAACTCTAATGCATTGCAATTACAGGATGCGAAGGGATTTACGAGTGATGGAGGATTTCATGCAGCGGGGAAGTTTAGAGGTCAGGCTATCGAATCGGTGTAACTATTAGGGCTAGAACCAGCGGGGTCATTCAATCTCGAGGATGTATAGGGCGTCGCGAATGCCATTGTTTTCGAGGGAAGCTTGACTTATAAATAGCCCATGGAGGGGTGATATACCAACTCCTTCACTGTCACACCTAACTCTACCCGGTTCTTCCTCAACTTCTGGTACGCTCGCATTCGTCAAGTCCGACACGCCAGATAGTGTGCAAGAATAGGAATGGTGGCTAAACTAGCGCTCGTCGTAATGGCGATAAAGGTCGGTTTATACGTGTATCTGATTATGATGTGAAGTCAAGCTATTGTCTGATAAAGAAGAGGGGGCAGTCAAGTGGAGTGAGATACACGAGGCCATGAACAGAAATTGGTCGCCTGATTGAAAGGCCTTGATCGTTCTGCCGCGGCGCCATTATTCTAATGGCAGATCAGAGGTGCCTTTCAGAGGCAATGGCAGATCAGAGGTGCCTTTCAGAGGCAATGGCAGGTTTCGTGCCTTTGAGTTTAGCCCACTTTGAACATCAAGTCACGTTATATCTCCTGAGGCGTTCGTGGATTATATTCCTGAATCAGTATTCGTCCTCTGCGAATAGCTTACAGAGACGACTAGCAACTTTATTTGATTCATTCCTAAATACTCTTCACCGATCTGATCTCTGATAGTTCTTCATAATACCGCCTCTTTCCCGACTACCAGCGATTCCTTCGCCTATCTCACACCAAGAACACATCTGCAATATCCTACTTTAAACAAAAGGCCTTAGTCGTGCCGTTCTCGACTTCTGCCATGTTCAGGATTGATAGCCCTGCTCTCTCTGGGGTCTATTTGGCTATCTGTCTTTTGGAGCTGTCGCCGACAACTATATTCTCTAGGAACTACAATGCCAACCTGATTCAAGTGCAATGGCATAATATATGAACTTATAAATGGAAACGAATCTTGAGACGCTGGCGGATCACATCGTGCTGCTCATCTTTACTGAGCGAGATCCGGGGCTTTACATGTACGCAACGATGATTGGTTTCCGCAATAGGACAGGAAACACGAACTGGGCTTGAGATGTACCAGAATGAAGACGTACTCAGAAACCTCGTTATGGCTACTAGGGGTACCAGAGGATGGCAAGGCCAAACAGCGCTGTGTAAACGTAGCCAGCGCCATGTATACTAGTCAAGGTAAAAATGGCTAAAGTAGAAGCTAGGTAGGATGCAAGTACGACGCCATCTACTAGCATGACTCTTTGGTGAGTGCTTTCGAGGTTCAGGGAGGCTGCCACTGTGTGGCTTTGGCTCCTGACCCGGAACCGCAAGAGCCGAACCCCAAGGCAGTAAATCCCGAGGCAAAGCTTACACGTATTCTCCACAGCCTTCAAGAGAACCTATACAATGCGCTTCGGAAGAAGAACTGTGGCAACATTCCATTGCATAACATCACCAGAAATACTAAGTGGCTGTCAAGTTGGCAGTAATAATTCCGGACCCATTCGTCGCTTGTATCAGTGTAAGGTTCCCCATGATCTGAGCTTGTTCCATGCCAGACAAAGCACTGCCGATGAAAACGACCTCCACGGCGGCAAAGCTGTAAGTATGGGGTCAGTATACTTGTTAGCATTTGTGAGAAACACACTTAACTTACGTTGCGGTAGCTACCAGTATTTCCACTCTTTTTGCCTTGCTGAAATACGCCAGGATACCAGCAAAGATCGCTGTAAACAAAACCGTGAAGCCTATTCTCTGGGTAGTTGTTGGGCGTCCATTGAGTACTAGGATAGTGAGAGGAGGTAAGATAGCGGCTATCACAGTAACAATGATGCTGGTGAGCCGTATTATGCGAGCATCTTGGTACGTGACATAGCCACTTTCTTCGTCGATAACGTGGCCTACCTTCATCCTCTGGCCAAATGCGAGATGAAATGGCCCCGCGATGAATCTCATTAAACCCCTTGTGAACAAGTCGTCGTCCTCAGCTGCGGGTTGCAAAGTCATGTAGAGATCAGGATTATGCGATCCATCTCCAGTCCATGTATTGATCTCTGCTCCTGTTTGGAAGTTCTTCCCTCCCTTATCCATCGCTAACCAATTTCTCAAACTCTGTAACTGAGACTTTTTGGGACTCGGCAGTTGACTGACTGCAGAATCTGGGAAGTATTTTAGCAAGCGAAAGCATATAAGCTACCAGGACATACATTGCGCAAGGAATTTATCTACCGACGGTTATCAGTATTACTATATATGCAATAGATCTGTAACATACTATACCGCATTAGCTTTTCCCTCAATTGACATAATTTCTGATGCTGGTCACTATTGTTCTGTTGGCTGTCATAGAAACTCTCTCCATTCTTCCGTTCTTCTTCTGTTCCAATCTCATCAAGAGAGTTTTCCAAATGAAAATCACTCTGTAGCTGGAGGATCTCTGCCTGCAGTGAGAGCAGGCATAGGATATTTGCATCGTCGAATCGACGAAAGATGGCCAGATTCTTGTCGCCGTTCATCATACGTGCCAGTCGCACATACATCGACGGAGGCTGGTGACTCATTTTGTCGTTGATGACTGGTGGTAGTAATTGTGTAAAGACAGTTTTTTAAAAGAGGTATGATGCGTAGGAAATGATTTCAGGCAGCCTGCTTTTCAGCCCATGCGGGCGGATTATGAGCGCCTACGTAGCTGTTCCGTTATTCGTTAATGTGAGTCTGTGTAACCCTTATTGGGCAGACACTGGCGCTACTTTCTTGACTTGCCGCTGTTGTGATATCAGGCAGCGAGATATGCACATGTATTCGTCACACTAAGCCACATAAAAATACCTTGCCAACATGTGGGCCAATCATGAAGCATTAATCCATCCACGCGTACCCATTATCAAAGAAGGTTGCTAATTATAGCTCCGTTCAAGGAATATAATGCCCTGGTAGCTCTTCGACACTTGTGCCTATCTTTCTCATCGTTTCATTCTCTACTCCCCAGGACTACTATTCTTCCCAGGTATGAACCTAGATAAAAAAAAGTCATGTCATCCTCTTTTTCTAAGAACTCATTTTTCACCAACGCTTTTTCAATGGTTTTACCTATTCTTGAAGTAATTTTTCTTTGGACTGTTGCAAAATGGTTGAACAAACTCCGGACCATTGAGCTTGACTTAATACGTTATATGCAAGAAGTTGAATTACTCGATGATATGTTTAGAGAAAACGAAGAAGTAATTGCTCATATGAGCGACGAGCCTCCCATCTCGGTCCAAAAGACGCATCAGCTTTGCAAGACCTACCAGGGCATGTTTGACGGGAACCTTGCGTTGAAACCCCTCAGGCGCGGCTATTATATTATAAAGCTTACAATAGTCAGAAAGATCAAGCTGGTATGGCATAAAGACAAATTGGAGAAAGTTCTTAGACTCTATAGAGGGTCGGTTTTCAGCCTGAGAGACCTTTGTGCCGAGTAAGTTTATATACTGGTTCATCTCAGTTAACTAACCTCACGGACCACAGTATCAGGATGTATACCCAGTTACGAAACATGACGTAAGAACTTGTCTATTCCACTTTACTTTTACGTAGTACTGACTGTTATCAACTAGAGCGGCTATGTCTCGACTAGACCAGGAATTCGCAGGTGCTCCCTCGGCAAAAGATTTAGTTGACCTGCAGGGAGATGACTTTTTTATCATTGCATACATACAAGCGCAGAATCTGTCAGATTATCCACATCTACCCCGTGGCCGCAGAGCTGTACCAGCAACCCTTAAGCTAGACACTGGTGCAAGTATCGACCATGTTTCTGAGAGCTTTTTGTTGGATGTACTGAGGCTAAACAAACAATGCTTTCTTCCCATCCCAGAGCATGAACAGCATCCAGTCACTGGGTTTGATGGGACTCAGTTTATTCCAAGGTACCGTATAGAGCTTCAGTGGTCACGAGAGCTGAACAAGGAGATGAAGAGTCATATGTTTTTAGTGGTCCCAAACTGTCCCTGCGACGTGGTTCTGGGAGCACGAAACTTCCTTCAGCAAGCTACCGGCCTTACCAGAAGAATACAAATTGCCGCAGGTGGACGTAAGTGTCAAGAATGAACAATACTGAACATAAAGCAATGGTCTACTAACGGGGTTGGTAGGATTAAACGAATCAGAGGAACAGCGTCGGGATCAAGTCATTAATGCAGAGCGGGAAAGAGAGCGTGCTAGGTTTGAAGAAGCCAAGGCAAGGCGTGCACAGAGATTATGGAGTAGTCGATCATCAAAATCTCATCAGGAGGACATAGAGATGCAAACGCAGAGTGGACCAAGCTCGGCAGCAGAAAGAGGCCTTGTAATTATAGTTTAGAGACACCTCGATGGATTTGCAGAAGTTAGGAAGGGAGAAATTGGGGCCATCCACTGGCATGGCTCTCCTGTGATTTCAGTACCAAGGGATGCTATCGCCGGGTGAGGTGGGACCCTGGGCCGAAATCCCGAAATTGGAAGTTCACGGTTGGGAACCATAAGGCAAGGTTCTACAAGCACTCCACGGTCTTCAAGAGTTTACACAATCTGCTCTGAATTAAGAGCCACAGCAAAATGCCGATTTGGCACAAGATATTAAAGGACGAGAGTACCACTAAAAGAGGCAACAGGACCTCTCCAGAAGTTAGCCGAGATTGTTGGTAAAGAATGGTAACGCAATGAGACAAAGGGGTCCGAAAGTTTGAATGACATTGCTTATCCGTAGGTTGCATTATGAAGTGCATGTTTCCTTTGTAATGTGACAGTCTTCTCTCTCATGTGTAGTTCGGCTTCGATCAGACCACATCGCTTGGCTAGGTGCAGATCGATACTATCCTCCCCGACATTCCAGCCTAGTCCTTTGCGTGGAACAAACAAGCCTCGACAACTGGCATTGCTTTGACGATGGTTGACGGGCTGAGCTGACCTTACTTCGGTCCGGCTAGGAGATGGGGTTACATCGCTATGCTATTTAACAGTCCCCTCAGCCTGTTCTTTCGCTGCTCGATCTCGGTCTTCAGTTCCTCTACAGCATGCTTCTTCTCATCAAGCTTCTGCTCAAGCTTGGCTGCCCGTGTCATCCCATTGAACTTCTCCTTGAGCCGCTTGATCTGTCGCGTCTTCATATCGAGCTGCTCCTCGAGCTTCCTGACCTCCCGTATGGACTCCTAGGCCTTACGAGTACGGGTCTGCTGAGCTTGCATGTTGGCAAGCTATGTGTCATCAGTAACGAAGCTCTCGGATCACGCTGGATAGTCTTGCAAGTTGGGGTGCATTCGCGTCTTCGTCATTGGATGCTTGGAATGCTTTGACGGCGTGGATCAGGTTGACAGCTATACAGGCTAGCTCGGATCCGCGGATGATCTGGTCAGGCTGATTAGTAGGATGAAAAGTGACGACGGCTGCAGAACTTACCGTAATGCACCGGCCGTAGGTTTCAGGATGCTGGCATCGACGGCAGCGAGCAGCACCTGGGGCTATCAAATGCATCAGTCCAAGATCTACTACTTTCTCCGGGATCACTTACGGCTCTCCAAGCAGAGATTGTGACGCCGGATTCTCTCAGGTTCAAGTCTCGCAAGAAACAGCATGCACTCGACGCATGGTATGTTCCTTCGCGACCAGGTTTCCTGCAGCTATCCAATGTCAGCCAAGGCTCAATCGCCCGTTGGCTGTTGCGACATACAGCAACGGAGGCCATCGTGTTGTTGTGCGAAGGGCCTCGAAAGCCGCCGGAATTGAGATAGTATGGGGAGGGATTGATAATGGAGGAGAAAGAGATGAAGGCTCGGAATGAGGAGAGGTAGATGCTGATTTAATGACTCACGGATGGCCCTTGGCCCACAGTTGAAGCTGTTTGACAGTGCCTTTCACTGCACGCCTGCTTGTAGCTTGTTTGCTAAGATGACCTCCGCCACGTTCGATTGAAGCGAACAGTGGCATTTAGTAAAGTTCTGCTTTTGCTTCGTATTGTTTGTTACGGTGAGAGATGGTCAAACTAGCTAAAATTAATAGATTTGAGAACTGCTGCCTGCTCTTCAATTATGACACCTGCGCGAAGCTTAGGTTTTTAGCAAATCTCGCCAATTGACCAGTCCTATGATATATCTGATGCCGCTTTGCAATCTGAAGCATCCACGCGACGGCCTGTCTAATGAAATACATAAAGTCTGAGGTAGTAAAACCAACTACACGCGGCCTCTTAAGATGTTATTCAAATTCTCAAGCATCGGACCTCCAAGCCTCGGACCTCCAGGCTTGATGCCCGGTTACTTCTTGGCCGTTCCAGCAAGAACATTGCCGTATATTTCATTAGCACTCATTGAACGATTTACTAGCTTTCGTCATACGGGATAAACAGCGAGCCGTTTTAAGAGATCTAATCCATTCCAAGAGTTGGGGCATTCGGATGATAGCAAAAACGTTCAACATCAACCGACTTCGCACTTTTCTTCTATTTCTCGATGTTGTAAGTGCCCTAGAAGAAACCGCAGTTGCACGAGGCTTTATTTAATGCCCAAATGATATAGAGGTTTCAATCATATAACCGCCTTCGATCAACAGAGTGGTGATAGCGGGCACAGCCAAGTGAATCAACGCGAGTCGATTCAAACTGCTCTATTCACCGCTTCGGAAGAAGAACCAACAAAGTCAGAACAAACGTCATCTCCCGGGGGGTTCCATTAGTAAGAGTGAAACACTGCAGGTACGTATGCATCGATGATCGTGACTCAGGCATCGTGGTTGTACAAGTTGCAGTTCTTCGAGGCTTGGTGATTGCTTTCATGTTAGCTCTTCGCAGGTCTCACTATACCAAAATAGCAATTACCGCTGATATCTTGTAGGTACATATTGTCTTTGAGGATGGTTTCCCAAGTTACCCAAAACAGCTTTCCCGTCCCTCTCGATGCACGAGTGACACTGGAGCTTCCAGTTCCAGTTTAACCTAGCACTGCTGCATCATCCCGAGAAAAAGGTCAATTCAGACAAGGACACCGGGTGGCCTTGTGTTGCTGCTTGTGCTGAAAGGGAGAAATATCAACATTTGAAGCTTTGAGACAAAGGCCGAGGCAAGCTGTCAGTAAACTGGAAAGGCTTATGGACATAGTTCTCAAGCGACTTGTCAGTCTCTTCTATGCCCGAGCCAATACATGTCTATAGACCTTGTTCGATACTTAAGGGAGTTCCAAGTCGTCATTACGGGCTAAGTACACTGACACATATGCCAGCGATAACTGGACCACATAAGTCGGACAATTCAGAATAGGATAACTATACGGGATTGAGGTTGGATGTCAGAGTGTTCCCTTCAGATAAGTCACCAGCGGCAAAGCTCCGGTCTATCCAAGAGTTAAGCGTAGTGGCAGTTGGACTGCTATAGGTGGAGACAAATGGAAGATTGAGGTGAGAATGGAACTGCGTGCAGTTGAGTCACTGACACCTGAGAAAAACGAAAGCAAGGAAGCATGCCATACCCAGGTCTTCAGCAGGTCTTTACCTCAACCAGTCATTTAAGCTGTTATCAGCTGAGCACAATGAATTCCTAGTGCCGGACTTCCGACATGAGAGCAACTCGTTCATCTCGTTTCAAGATTGAGTAGTGAACGGAAATGAGCTTTCCTCAACTGAACAGACATGGAGTTATCAGACACCGATTTAGGAGAAATCAGCGATGTTGAATATTGAGAATGATGAAGTCGTTGCTGCTATGGTGACCGTAGACGAAAGAGGGCTCCAAACCATAGAGAAGAACACGCTCAGTAGTGAGTTCCGCAGTCTAGGTATCTGGTAGAAGGAAATCAGCACCAACGGGCCACAGCGGCTGAGCTCCATAGCACGGAGTCCACATATCTTGAACTTCAGACTGTTGAACTCAAGAAGCCAGCTTCCAGGAACGGAGGTCACTGTGAGGGAAAACCAGCCTTCGCGAATGTTGCTGTCCCCGAGGCACTCAGTCAGTCCCTAAGGAGAACCAGGCGAAGCAGCTCCGAATCCTGAACTCCATGTCTCGGAGTTTTTTTATGGGATGGTCCATATAATCGAGCCATCACTGAGGAGCACCGCGGCCCGGAACGCAGTGTCTCGAAACTCAGAACTTCGTAAGCCTTTGTCGTTCACTCCGCCGCCTGGACCTTCCACTGACGGAGCTCATGTTAGCTTCACTCCAATATACGTAGCTTCGCTCATGCAGTTACGTCATTCGTACTTCAACATGCGGATACCCAGTAACGTCTTTCAATAAATAGACTAAGCAAACTTTCACTAGCGCCGTTCAAGCCTGTGGGCACAAGATCTTGAAGAACGCAGGAAACGGAAATCCAACGCGAGAAAGGTTGAGTAAAAGATATGTTGCTCACAGGTGGGGCAATGGCAGCCGGGATGAGGAAGAAGCCTGTCTCAAGGAACATGCGGATTTCCATGGAGAGCGGGTGAATAGAGAGGAAGAGAAAAAAAAGCGAGGCACAGAACCCCGACTACAAACACTCGCCTCCCGCACCGGCATCGAAGCAACGGAGTTTTCAGCTACCGCCGCTGAACCCATATAATATGAGCTCAAGTCGCAAGGCAGCCCAGATACCAACGACTACTACCTAGTATAGTGAAGTATACTGCCTTGGATTTAGCCGAACGTGTATCGCTATCCTCGAGAAATTGACGGGTGAATCACGGCCGCGACTTGAAGAGTCTACGACAGTTGAGCAGCTAGAAGATGATTTCAGGGGTGTTCCTGCTTGCCGCTTTCCATGAAAGTAGAACGCAAAATGAATAGCTTGCACTCTAATGTACTGAAGATGACTTACGCTCTGATTCCTTGCTATGGCAGGAAAACATACCTAATTGACCTTAATAATTATTCTCGGGAGTGACCATATTTATGAGATCCTAAAGTTCCAATGTGCTGGAAGTCCGAGTAGCGGAACTCCTCTTGTTGAGTTCCGAGCAAGAGAGTGGTTTCGTGTCAGTCAACGCAGCGACCTGGCGAGGACCATTGCTCTCAGGGTCGGAACGGATCCGCCATCGTCGAAAATGCACTACAGCACTATGCACAACATCTCCAACTCGGATTTGTGTTCTTTGCCATCACGTTGGGGCTGAACCCGCGTTCACGCCCGGCACCTTCATCACAATTGATGACTCACAACGGCATTCACTCTAGGGTCTTGAAAAGGAGTGACCAAGTAAAGAGATCTCTTGTCGTAAAAGGAACGCTCTATTTCCCACAATTCCAAACTCCAAAATCCCATAAATGCTTCGCTAATGCTGTATGCTTTTCACTAACCTTGCCGAGCTTTCCGATGCACTCTTAAGTCTCCCGAGTTGTATCCCGCGCTCCTTGGATTTCAATAGCTACGTATACCGTAATCTTCCGCCCTTTCAAAGCGCGATGCACACATGCTTCCTGAAAGACTTCACGCGCTTCGTATCGGGTTGATTCAGCTCGTCGTCGCCGTCATAGTCAGCACTATTCTTTCGCTTTCGTACGACCTTCCACTTTGTCGCTGGACGATGCCTGTTTTCGGTGATATTTTGACCCTCAAGTTTCTTCTCATCTTCCAGCAGTCCTCCTCCACGCTCATTGTCAGGCTGAAGCAGTTCGTCTTCGTCATCATTTTCCCGCTTTCTCATAACCTTCAACTTCAACGGTGCATCATGAAATTCGTCCAGTATATCGTGAGCTTCAACCTTCTTCTGCACTCCAGGTAGACCTTCTTCGCGATTATTACCAGTATCCACAAGAAGAATCGGAATACCATGACTGCGCTCAGCCCGTCTATCGAGAAGACTTTTGGACTGTTCCTGACGGCTGAACTCCTCGACGCGGAAAGGAAGGGCGCGAGGTTCATGGAGGAGATCCTGCCACAGCGAGAGGACGTTAGGCTGGTCGAACTTGTTAAAGTGCCGAATCTGACTGATGCTGGCCTTCAGGGATTGTGAGATCTTGTGATTGGGGTTTAGTTGATCAAGAAGCTGTTGCATTTGTTCGGCGCACGACCTGAGCTGACGACGGATCCGGTCTTTCTTGTCCATAACGGAGAAGGCTTTGAAGGATGTGGAAAGGGAAGCTTCGTGTGTTTTGTCCAAGTGGCTCATCACTTGATTCCACCCGTACGATCTCGGGGTTGGTTTTGACAAGTGGTAAGGTGAGCTGAGTTGAAAGACAGACGTGACGGAAAACGAAGTCTAGACGGGAGGGAGAAGAATATCGTGAATATAAAATCTCTTTGTCGATCAGGGCGGTGAAGTTTGGGCTTAGTCGATGTATGATATGTGACATGAGGGTTACACAAAGAATGTATGTTTGTCTGCGAAGAGCCCAGCTGCAGGGTCAGTAAGCCACATCCTCCATCACCCCGCAGACAGAAATTGATGCTGAATTCCTTCTTGGTCATCTAGCTCCGCGTGACACGCAGGTGTGAAGTAGTGCCAACAAGGCTGTCTGAAAGATTGATTGCAAGTTATCGCGCCGATCACATCAATGGCTTCCGATGGTTCACTGTGGTAGACTTCACTGCTATTCTTTCCCCGTAGCGATATTACCAGAGAAACCATAGTTTTGCGAAGCAGATGACATGCTGACTGTTTCCGAATGCGATTTCGTGATTCTCCAATTTTCTGAGGGTCCTCAAGATCTAGATTGAACATGCCTAGGACTCTTGCCTGTAAAACCACGATTTCTTTCCAGCATCTGCTTTCAGTAAAGTTCAAGTCCGGTAGGGGGTCTTACACTGGTGTTATGCTGGATGTTGCCCTCGGTATCATGTTCCGATAAGGCTGAGAGTCGTGCGTGAGCTTACCTACCTTGTCCACTTGTGAAACGTGTCGGTCTAGCCTACATTCGCCCACATGAAGAGGATGCCCATACTTGATATTGTAGTTGGAGCGGCTTTGCTTCGGAGTCGCGGGATTTCTCCTCTTGCTATCATATTTAACTACACTTCATATGGCAAAAAGGTCCCTTTGACGGATCACCATTAGGGCTCCAACTGGGCCAATACGTTGTTTCCTGTACACGTTTATCCCTCTGGCTGTCTTCTCATTTTTGACACCCAGCTTGTGGCTGACGCGCGGTAAATCCAAGAGCCTTGTCGCGACAGGTCGTTAATCTACAAGTAAGAAACAGCTGCAAGACAGAGTTCAAGACCAGGCTGAGCAGTCCAAGGATAGCCAAGCCTCACATGGCGATACAGTAACCAGTAAAGAACAGAAGTTCAAGCTCTTATTCAATGCCACACTCTGGTACCTCCACGGGTTTGACCTGGTTACCAGAGCGTATCTCCAGAGCCGCAGCATTGCTAAGGCTGCTTAGCATGGCGTTTGGGGCTCTCCGATAATTAATGTCCCGCTTAACAGATTATTCAATAGAATTGAGGGGATAGTAAACTATTCTAATGTGTTTCCCCGACACTGGAGTTAAGAGAGTCTAGACTGCGGTTCTAGATCTTGGATTCTGAGTTCCGATGCTTTGATCCCATCCTTGTCAGCTCCGGGCTGCGGAGATGACCGTTTTTGATTGAGGGCTTCGGAGCTCTGATACTTCCACTTATCTTGGTGTTGGAAGTAGAAGAAGGAGGATCGTGGGTCGGTGATAGAAGAAACGTTTAGGTAACAGGATCTGGGCTTTGATCGTGATTGGTATCAATGTTGACGATGGGTGTCACGATAGGATGTCGTATCCAAGGCCGACGATGCAATCAACATGTATTTGTTGAAATATAAGCCTCGTAATCGATGCTTCTGCGCAATGGTCTTGGAGTTCCTGGAAATGGAAACCCGAGAGAGTATCAGCGTCAACAAGATCAGGTCAAGATATATAAGAGAAACAAGATCAATTTCATCTCTACAGACTCTAAAAGTATTACAATTCCCCAAATATGAAGCAACTGTCGCCTGTAGACGATAAAAGAGACAGCAGCAAAGTCTGCGACCCGCAAGCCCAGCCGAAAACACAAGCACCCGGGTAGCTTGATGGGCAATGGCCGAGAGTCTGTGTTGAAGACTGATATTAGTGAAGTTATATCCGTAGTAAGCTCCAGGCCTGGTATTTCAGCCTGGAAATAACGTTAATTGGATGGCGGCTAGTGGCCGGATTTAAGAGAGGGAGAGAGGAAGACAGGAGGGATGTCTCGTTTTGTGGATGAGAGCAACTTGTGGTTGATGTCTTGGTTTGCCAGTATGTCAGCGTACAAATTGTGTTGAGTAAATACTACATTGCCAATCTTGGATATTAAATGTCGCTGGACAATGATTTGCATTTGAGGTCCGACACTTTTTTTTATATGATTGACTGTGCGTGAGATACATCTTAAGATAAAGTAACAGCATATCTCGCTGGTTAAAATGGATACTATCGATAAGGGAGCGTACTAGTACAAATTTAGCTTAGAGTCCATCACCCAAGCGCTAAGCTCCATCATCTTACAGCGCTGTCTGAAGTTCGCCAGTTCGAATGCCAGTATCGGATTAAAAGAATCAAGATTATGCTAAGCTCCCAGATTCTGGAGGCATTTTTTCTAAGGCCTAAGAGTTTTTTTTAATTAAATTCCGCTTCTATTAAAGTGACTTTAGGAGAATCTGGTGCGGCGTTGTCTGAGCCGCTGAGTGCAAGTTACGCACCATCTAAGCAACCGTCAGCGCAAAATTCCCCAGCTCAGACAGTCAGTCAGCGTCTGTCGCTCCCGGGTAGCCAGCCAAACGTAAAAAGGAACATCAAATCAAGTGTCGCTAAACCACAACGTTACACAAGATCTGGTTGCCCAACTGTATGCCTTGAAAATCATCTATAACAAGAGATGACTTTGACCCTATGTAAAAGAAAATAGTAACGCAGCTTTTATCTTGCACGTCATTAATAGATTGGTTGGTGATCGATCAGCGCATTGACTGTAAACAGTTTTGCTGATCGGCACTCCCCACAGGCTTTCCGGACGAAGCTGAGAGTGTGGAAAATTGCCTTAGTGGTGTTTCGTCACGTTAAGTGTCTCTATGCAGTACATAGACTTGTTTATCAAGGTGAATTGAGTCAAAGACAAAAAGACACCAACATCCAATTAGATGCAGCAGCTTTGGAGTGAAAATGAATGGCCCCAACAAGCAGAAATATTACGAGTGGTTCTAATTTTGGTCACTCTGAGTCAACATGTCGCTTCACTGTATCATTTCGGCTGCAGGAATAAAGAGTCATGCGGTTAAGCTGCATTACAACTGCTGGGGTGAATGAAGCATCTTCATTAAGATAAAAACAAAGGCTACAGTGACTTTCTTCACCGCCCGTTCAATTCTGCAACACCCTGAGAACAAAGAACATCGCAGACAGAGACGTATTTCAGAGTGACAGGTAGCTATTGTGGAATTACATCAATGGCTGAGTGGCGGAGTAACTCATACCAATCCCCTCTCCAGCTAATGGTCACTTGCGACAACACAATGCGAGTTTGGATCAGCCACGTATTACCCCGCACCTGGTATTTAGCTGACACTCTCAGTGCTGGTGTATTTAACTGTAAGTTATGCAGCACATTCTGCCAACCGTTCAAGCGCTAAAATCATATTAATATATGTTAATCTTAAAGTAATTTACTTATAAGTTATCGATGCAATCGAATCAGTCTATTATATAGCCTATATCTTACTAGTGCTATAAAATTTCCTATATAAACTTAATTAGTAGCAGGATATTGATATAAATAATACTGTTAAGAGAGTAAGCATAACAGGCAAGGATTTAAGTATAAATTAAGAGAGACAATGGTTTGCCGATTTATCCGTTAGGTTTAGACCTAAAGTCAGTTTAGTATTAATGGCGCTATAACTATCTCTAAAAATAGTTAAGTCTGTTTAATAATACTCTGGCTGCTCGCGATTTTAGGGTCAGAAGTAGCGCTTGGCATGTCACAAGCAATTATAAACCGCAGGTAGCCTAATGAATCCGAATCAGCTAAGTCAGTCTGACACTTTAGCACTGGAGCATTCTACTAAAAACGCCAAGGCTTTCAAGCCATCTAAAAATCAGGAATAGTCCCATTGCAGAGCTCCAGCTAAAGCAGGACAAAGCTTTTATAAAGGGGACTGGAAGAAATAACAATTGTATGCCCTTTTAATACCATACATACCATAGAAAGATGCATCCCACGCACATACAAGGCAGACAGCGACATTTATGGCTGTCCACACTGGACTGGACCAGTACTGTCAGTAGCTTTCTTTTACTCGCTACTGGAATTCTTATGATAATCAATGGCCGTTGCTCTCGGGGCCACGGACTCAGTGCCGACGCACCTATGTGTGTCGGTTCCCAGTTGTCTGTACAGAGCTGGCTCGCCATCACTGGCATCCAATTTTCGCTTCTCAGCACCATATTGCTGCCCCGCATCTCATCAATAACACTTTCCAAGTGTTTTACAAAAGCTGTCGAAACCACAGGAATGCGACTGGATCGTCTGCTTAACTCCCTCTCATCAGCCCCGCTCTCCGCTCAACTTCGGGGATCGAAGAAGGCCATCCAACTCCGATGTCTAGCCTTTCTGCTTGCAGCACTCGTGAGCATTCTCTATAAGTTCTCCTTCGTCACCGTCGATGCAAAGGGTATGCTCGCGATTCCAAAAGGGCAGACCTACTACAATTATAACTCTGACGGTTATCCTGATGCCGACACCAGCTATACTGAAATCGGCGAGTCGGACATGCCCCGAGAGTACAACTATGCTTTGGGGGAAGGGGTCCCGTCTACCATACTCTCAACAAACCTCATTGACTTCATCACTGTCAACAATGGGTCCGTGATTGTCGTGAGCGACCCAGGCATGGCCTTTGAGCATAGGGTTACTACCGATCTAATTGTAGGGCCAAAGGTGAATGCGACGCGAGTGGCAAGAGTTATCAATGGGACTGTGCAATCATGTAGCCCCTTATTGTACCTTCGGAGCTCGTTCTATGTCCTGCGCTCAATTGGTGACTTTGATGCTATCAAGTGGCCTCTTGTTAAGTCAACGCCATACAACAACGGGGTACGAATCGATTATACCCCTTGGAACTCAACCACATTTAATGGGGGCATCATGGACATTACCTCCTTGGCCAATGGATCAATGCAGGCGTGGGCCGTCCAGCATCCACTTGCCTTCCAGCGACAAGCGGGCAATGAGGGCATCTACGACTACAGAGTTACCGTTGATACGCGATACTGCTACGGTTATATTAGCTGGTCAAACTCGGTTACTTACGGTCATTTTGAAATAGAGGAGCCAACCGACATTCAATGCCAGGTTTCCCCTTTCAATGTGGCTACATGGAACAAGACACAGTGGGCATTCAACGCAAAAACGTTCATGCAGGCAGCCCTTGCTGGAAAGACTATTGACGACAGTTTCTGGATGACTGCGCTGCCCATAATTCCAATCGTTAGTGATCACTCATCTATCCACAGAGAGTTTGGCCCGCCGACAGAGAGGAATCCACGGTGTAGCACCATCGCTTCAGACTCATTCGCGGTTTCTGAGGGTATAATAAGGGCATCGAGGACGGGCATGACGGCTTTGGGAATAGCGCTGCAGGGGCTGGCAATCGTGGCAGCCATTGTGGCCCTGTGCTTGATTATGTGGCCAAGACTGCCACTACTTACAGAGTGGCCTGCACAGTGGCTTGCCTTGGCAGAAGGTTTGGATCACTCTGTAGTAAAGGAAGCTGTCAAAGGAGGGGTAACAGTATCTAGTGTTGAGTCCAGCGCTATTGTGTTTCTGTCATTATCCCAAGGAGAGAGCAACGAGTTGCGCCTATTAGGTGTCAGGTCATAGTTCTCGTTTCTATTACAATCGAGGCAAATTTCGATTTTCTATATTTATAAAGCTAATTAGTCATTGCAAGTCTTGTTGGCTGTGTGATCTGGCTGCCAAATCTGGCAACATCGAAGGATAACCAGTGCGGGGAAGATTAGCTGACGGAGATAGGTTTTACTAGCCGTTCTATCAGTGATTCACTATTGCTGTAAGGTAACGGCTAAACTTCAGTCTACACATTGGATGCCTTTATTTATTTGGGTGATTTTTTTATTATACCAGTACTGCTATACCTTTATATATGTACGCCGTGGAAAAAAGAAGCTTTCTGGGCTACACCGCACCACAAGCCAAGCTTCCTTCAACCGCTTGCCGGCATGACCGCTGCTCTTGGCGTTTACCAGAGACTCCAACTGCCTCTACCATGGAGCCCTGTCACTGTCCCGGCCCCCCTGGTTGTTAACGGTGCCGCCACAGATGTGGGAGCCTTCGCAATCAAGTTCACAAGCTTTCGAATGTTCATCCCCTTGGACTAGTATTGCGAATATCCTCACCACCCGGACGAGTCAATTCCATTGCGGCGAAGCCTGTCCTAGGCCCATGGCCTGAACTGTTCTGAAATCCGAGAACATGCACTGGCCGAGGATGGCGCTGACATCCGCATCTTCATATTCGGCGCTGATCATCAATTAGTTGACTGTCACATACCGAACACCCACGAGATCGATGTCGAATGGAAGCAGCACGTACCTTGTCCCTGTCCCATGCCCGTAGTTACTGGCAGCATTGAATCCCCATATCATCCGCGACGCTGAGCTGTCAGTATCTCTATCGTGATTTCCTTATGCATCTGGCATAAGCGCACCACTTCCATTTATCCCGGCAGGCCAGGGGGATTCTAGAAGACGGCGCCGGACATTTATAACCTCTCGAGCTCTTGTAAATGGCCGATACAAGATCTCGGCGCCAAAGTATGTGATCCTGATTTCCTGCACTACCATCATACACAGATCCGGCCGATAGCAGCCTAGGCGATAAACCACGCTCCGCGGTAACATAGAATACAGGAGATGAATCTGCAATATTGGTACGAGGGCAATGCGGCTATGTAACATTAGTAAAGTGATTTAGAACAAACAGCTGTTAGTGCTTAATTAAGAAGGCTTACATTAACGATTAAGAGTGACAGATCATATCTGCCATGATCATGTCACCGAGCGCGTGGGTCGAAGGCATGGCAGTGGCTGTTGTTTTCCTTTCTGCACTTAACAACCAATTTTGTGATTCTTTGTAACAGGCGACGGCACGCTAATTTCCAAGACTCTTTAGGACAAATAATCGAAATAGTGTTTTAGGTGTAGACCTAGTTACATGTAACATAATAATCGTTTTGTGATATGGCCAGCATTCTTACTCAAAGGACAATGCGAAATGATGCATGAGAAGAGTAAGAACAGGATTAGTCGCTCTAGCTCTGAGGCAATCCAAGTGCATGTGATGGCATCTTAGCTCACGTTCCAGATCACTCACTTCCGAGTAGGTCGAAAGCGTCCGCTTAGCGAGATGTTGGACAGAAAGAATTCTTGACAAAATGCTGGTGACAGAGAGCAAGCCATCCCACAACAGAAACAAATCCTCAGGATCCTGTGGGATATACCGCTGACGCTGAAAATCTGTTAGCTCAGAACACAGGCTCTTGGAAGATTCTTCATCTGGCTTGGCTGTGTCAGCGTGTACCAAGTTAATACGCATCGACCGTCCCATGCAACGGATAACCACGGTTCTCGGAAGAAACAGCACCACGACAGATGTTTCCACAGATTCAGATCGATGGATGGACGATACTGATAGTGGTCAAGGCTTTTATCAGGTTCACGGTGCAACCCAACTGTCTGGCAAAGGCTAATGGCAATGCCATTCCAGTGCCATGGCCTAAGCCTGTCTTCTGTGTCTGAATACCAGAAACCCACCGACAGCACCGCTTGAATCAGGACTATCTTGGACTGTTCGTAGTTCGCATCATACAACACCTTTGAGGAGCAGCATTAGACACCTTCTTGCGTTGGAAAGCCCGGGAGTATACCTCTGCACGTAAGAACATGGCCCGTTCATATAGTAAAGTCTCGGGGCGGGAGGATTGGAATACCGATATTAACACTAAAGTAAAGAGACGCCTTCTAGGCCACTATCGTGGCACCTATCAACACGTCTGGGGCCGGTACTCTAACCCGCACGTTGCCAAATGCCCACTTTGGCTCAATCAACTTGAATATAATTCCCTATTAAAGTAACAAGTACTGCAGGACAGTCCCTATCCATAATGCAGAACTAGTTATAACCTTTATAAGATTAACATTTGCGATGGCTTCGGCGGCATGTGGGACAGAGGCCAGGATTCATGCAACAGTGAGGACATCATATGTGACAATGAACAAATGCCCTCCCAAAAGAGGATTAATAACGTGGATCCTTCTACTACAATGGTGAAAGTCAAAATAAAGAGAAATCCGGCCCATGCCGATGAATCGCCTCTTTCTGGTCGACCGCTGTAAATTTGAGCAACAAGGTTTAGTATACCGAGGACCTATTAGCCTTAGCCGATGCTTTTCCGGGGAGACAAAATTGGAGTACCAGTGCGGCCACCGTAAACTGCTGTAGCTGGCGGGAGAGTATTTGCTGTTCATCTACATGAGAGTTTTTACTCTGCAGCGGCGAATTAGCTAAAACTGCATTCGAGTGCCCTAAGCAAAATTGCGAATTGTTTCATACCTCACGCTTAGCCTCGTCGACCAGATAGTCAAGTTCGTGGCTAAGCTCGCGTAATCTAGTGAACTTTTCAAGTGTCTCTTGTCGGAGATCAAGGCTCTGCAGTTTCAGCTTGGTCAGATTTGCGACGCATTTCTACGTCTCCGGGGGCTGTTAGAAAGGGGACAGCAGCTTACATGTCGAGAGAGACTCGCTCCAAATTCCTCCTGAATGTACGTATGATGCTCAACGATCCCTTCGAGGGTAGCTGCCAAGGACGCAAGAGCATACGCCCTTGGAGAAACAATTGTATCAGCGGATTTGAACTCTGCGTCAACAATGATGGGGTCCATGCCACCAACCGTAACATCTTCCTCTTCTTGGCGATATTGTGACAGTCGGAACGTCGCACACGGGTACCTGCGTGAATTATTATGGAACAAATCGGCACATCAAACTTGGGTCACTTTCTGGACGATTTCGTATTCCTCATTGAAATCTAGTTCCAGGTTTTTTTGCGGTCAGCCAGAGTTATGCTTGAAGATGGGTTGTACTTACTGAATGAGCCGGAATGAGCCTGTTGCTGCCGTCTATGTTGTTTTTGGCTTTTTATGTTATTGTCTTGGTTTGTTGTGTTAATACTTATAGTGCTGAACTTGCTTGTAATAGGAGATAATAAGGTTTAAGTTAAGGATGTCTTTTATTAAATTTATTAACTGCTTTAAGGGCCTGCTAATGCTAATAATGATATACTACCTATTATTCTTTTACTTACTTTAAATAAGTTTTATATAAATTTTAAAAAGATTAGCTTAAATAACTTATATATTTTTATTTATTTATTCTTTATATAAAATTACTAAGACTATATC